GCTTTCCCTGTATCAGAGACCAGAGATGGTCAAGGGGTTGAGTGGAGACATCACACAGGGTTTAATTTTCAAATCATTAAAAAATGAAAAAAATGCAGTATCACAGTATGGCGCCACTGCTCCTTTTACTCTTGCAATCTTAGAATCTGCTGCAGAGGAGTGGCTGACTCCTGGTGATTGGAATACTCTAGTGAGAGAAGTTCTTAGCGGTGGTGACCATCTTATTTAGAAATCGGAGTATCACGAGAGTTGTAAAGAGACAGCAAGGAGAAACATTCAGGCAGGCAATGGTTGATCCTTTGATGCCTTAGTAGGAGAAGGGCAATTTGCTTCTAGTGATAACCAGATGCAATATGACCCAGGCTTATTCGCTCAAATTCAAAATGCGGCCATGAAGGCTTGGCGTAAACTCCCGGTAAAGGGAGACCCTGGTGCATCTTTGACCTCAGTCAGACAAGGGCCTGATGAACAACACAGACGGAAGTTGCTCTAAAGAATCTTTCTAAAACCAAGTCCACTCCCCCCTCCCCACTTATCCTTTCTTTAAAGTCTGCTACCTCAGCTGGTGGGTGGTGGACTACAAGAGAGGTTAAAACATTTAAGAACCTTCATTAAAAATAAGGTTTGAAATAATTAAAGTTACATGTTATGTGAGAAAAAAATCCATTTTCAATAAAAGGAAAAAGAAATTGCTTTATTAAATATTTAGCAGACACATTCTGTGCATTATACATAATGTATATGACAAAGAGAGTACCAACATAACAGAGTAGAACCTAATGCCAGTTTAAATATGCACCACCACCATCAAATCCTTGTACCCACAAATACCCCTCACCCATTTCTGCTCTGACTCCATTTCTGAGTGTTATCTTCCCCTGATTTTCTTCTGGTTCTACTGCACATTTGCCTCACAAACGTTTGTTGTCATGACAGACAGCCTTGTTTTGCATTGTTCTGTATAAATAGATTCACACCTATTTTTCTGTAGCTTTCTTTTGCTCAACATTTTACTAGAGATGGACTTGCATTGTCACTTGTGGCCCTTTGTGATGGTGACTCTTGGTTGTTGACTTGACAGTAACTGGAATGAACTGCAATCCAGAAATGGAGGGCATACCTGTGATCCATATCTTGAGGTCATGAGGCAGGAGGGCATACCTTTAATCTGGGCCACACTCTGAAAGCCTATATAAAGACAATGAAAGAAGAAAGGTTTTTGTTCTTTGTCTGCTTGTCTTCAACTTGCTAGCAATCCATTTCTTCACTGGCATTGGAACCTACTTCTTCAGGATTTCAGCATATACAGAAACCAGCTGAAACCTCCAGCCTTGTAGGACTTTCCATTCATATCTTTTACAATACTTAATGGTCATGCCCTTCTAATAAAAAGCTTAGTAGATAGTACTTGGTTTATATCTTACCTCACTTGCTTTACCAAAACCCTCTCTTCTTAGATGATACAACTCTGTCCCTCTAGTTGTTAGGAGTCTCTTGAGCTTTCTTTCTACTTCCAATCTGTGGTGATCTGAATGAAAATGGCTCTCATAGACTCATAGGAATGGTCTATTATTGGAGTTGTGGCCTTGTTGGAGTAGGTGTGGCCTTGTTGGAGTAGGTGTGGCCTTGTTGGAGTAGGTGTGGCCTTGTTGGAAAAGTCTGTCAGTAGTGGTCAGGGCTGGCCTTTGTGGTTTCAGAAGCTCAAGCCAGGCCCAGTGTCACTCTCCCTGCTGCCTGCTGCCTGCTGATCAGAATGCAGAACCCTCAACTACCTCTCCAGCACCACGTCTGCCTGTATGCTGCCATGTTTCCCACCATGATAATGGACTAAATCTCTGAACTGTAAGCCAGACCCAATTAACTGTCCTTTATAAGAGTTGCTGTGGTCATGATGTTTTCTCACAGGAATAAAACACTAAGGTGTTGGGTGTTCTTGCTATAGACTCTTAACACAGATCTAGTCTGCACACCTCTTATGATGTGGACAGCCTTCACCTGGATCTAATACATAGAGTCTAAGTTATTAGAGTAAGTCTCATGGCTTCATCCTTACCTGTTGCCCAGTCTCCAAACACAGTAAGGTAATGTGACAATTACAAACAGGGTGCTTAGTGACACTTCCTAGAGAAAAACTCAAAGCTCTATAGTGGCTCAAAGTCTTAAAGAACAACTGTATTAGAAATATTATTTTCTAAAGTGTGTGTGTATGTGTGTGTGTGTGTGTATTCGTGTGCCACAAGGTACATGTGTATGTCAAAGGACAATTTGTGGGACTTATTGTTCTCCTTTACCAAGTGAGACCTAGGGATGGAATTCAGCCATAAAACTTACCAACAAATACCTTTACCTGTTGAAACATCTCACTGGCCAAATTAATTATTTTTAATTGGTATACGTTCATTGTACATCATTATGAGTATCATAAAGGCATTTTCTTCAAGTAAATTTTTATCACTTGCAATTCCATGCGCTCTTCCTTTCTTCTTTCTCTCTGGATAGTCCCCTTTGTTTTCCCAGCCTTGCTGCTACTTACATGTCTTATATTGCTGAGTTTGGCATGGTACTTGTAAGGGACAGTATGACATGGTTTACTGCCCCTGGAACAGATCCAGTAGGGTGTGGGTCTTCACAAGTGTTGATGATTGCTATATAGGCATAAGGCTTGTTTGTATAATATTGTACATATTCTCACGTTCTGGAATGTTCTGGAATGTTCTGCCAAGGTTAATGACTCTATGATAATCAGGGACAGCTTGAGCTCAGGAGGTGAGGGAGTGTCAGAACACTGTGACCTTCAGGATAGCCCTTAAGGCTGTGGGAAAGGATGCTGAAAATATGAGTTTGAAAATATATAATTTCTTAACTATGGAAAATATAAGGATGCAATATGAATTGTATAAGGAGCTTCACAAACCTAAAGGAACAGAGGTAGCTGCACTATTAGCCAGCTTGTCAGAAAAATACTAAGGAAGGAGATAGAGATTTAGGGAGTGGTGATCGCAAGGCAAGATCCCACACAGCTAAGTCTTTTTGGTTATGCTTATGAGTTCAAGGTCAGCCTGAGGCAGCTAATTTAGGTCCAGGTAAGGTCAGAATGGTAATTTCAGGATGGGGTCCTATCCAGCTATCTTATTGTCTTGTTGTCTCTAAGAATCAAAGGGCTGGGGTCTTGGGATGCTGATTCATGGTATAATCAAAAGGGAACTTGGGGTAATGACTGAATTGATATGTAAATAAAAAACGGACTTTGGTCTGCAAGAGATGCTCTAGAGGATTTTTTTTAGAATAGCAAGAGAAAGCTGTCTCTAGGAGAGCAGAGCACAGAGAGCAATCTGAAAAGCCATCTCAAGCAGATCACACACACATACACACGAGAGAGAGAGAGAGAGAGAGAGAGAGAGAGAGAGAGAGAGAGAGAGAGTCATATCGAGTGCACTCTGGAAAGCCAAAGTTGTCTTGAGCAGAACATAGGTCATCAGTTTGGGCCCACAATTTTGACTTTGAGTAGTTTGTTTTGGCAGCTCTCAGGCACCCCATCTCTCAGAACCCCTCTCCAAGCCGAGCCTGGTCTTTGGCAATGTATGTATATGTATGTAATATTTTAGGTATAAATATAAAAACCATGGTCCACAAATGAGTATAAAACACACCACATCTGTCTGTGTCTGACAAGAGGAATGTGGGAAAAGGGTTGGTTTCAGTAGCAGAAGTGATGCGATGCCTAACTCCAGCTTGCTTGAGGCTTCTTTTTACTGGGTGCTGGAATCACTGGGGGTCATAGGAAGGGCATGCTCCAAGGCACAGACCTTTTCCCAACACTGTCATCATTTTGATTTTCCTACTGACTGGAGCAAATTACACAATCAGGGCTAGATTCAAGGGTAACTGCTTCTCACTGGAAGACAAGCAAAGCCAGAGGACAGAGGGGTGAGTCAACATGCCTGGCAGAGGAGCGGTGTCCATTTTTGAAGTTGGCTATCCTGGTTAAGTTTCAAAAATGCCAAAGAAAATGAAACAACTAAATAAAAGTTGCGTAAGCTTCCATGAATAGCCCTGCAGCAGAAATGTAAAGGTTTAAGTGGTTGCGGTATCCAGTTGGAAAGATGTGAAATACTGTATGTTTTCACTTTCTGGATTATCTGCCCAAGTGCTACACACCTCAAAAGCTGATGTGTTTATTCTTTGATTTGGACAGATTAACCCAGGGATCATCCAGGACAATTCAGTTGTGTATTTAACATAGCTCTCAGAATGCAGGTGTCCAGAGAAAAAAAGTCTTTTCATTGTCTTTTAGGGCTGAGCCATTTAAAGATATATCAAAGGCGAACTGGTTTGAATTTAGATAAAAGTTGTTGCTTGTTGATCAGCCTGTGTTAGTATTCTGTCTAAACTCCACCTCCACAGTTACCTGGCAACAGCCAGGTATGCTCCTCCCCACAGTTACCTGGCAACAGGCACTATAAAAAGGGCTGCCTGCCCCCTCCCCACAATTACCTGACAACAGGCAGGTAGGCCTGCCCACTATAAAAGGGGCTGCCTGCCCCCTCCTCACTCTCTTTCTCCCTCACCTGCAGGTCCCCTCTGCTCCTTGCCCCTCCCCCTTCCCTTTCTCCTCTCTCCACTTGGTCATGGCTGGCCTCCTCCACTTCTCTCTTCTCTTCTTTCCCTACCATCTTCTGCTTCTCTCCCACCCTCCACACTGAATAAGCCCCTTCCCTTCGCGGAACCGGCTGGTCTCGTGTTGTCTGTCTAGGCTGCGCGCCAAAATCTAACAGCCTGCTGTAGCTGGAACTGCTGGGAGCAAGCCTCAGGTATTTCAGGCTCTCCTACCAAATGAACCCAGAATCGAAATTGCAAATACCCCTTTTAAGCCCCGCGGTGGTGGCACAGGCCTTTAATTCTGGCCCTCCAGAGGCAGTCAGGTCTCTTGAGTTCCAGGACAATCAGGACTGACTACACAGAGAACCCGGTCCTGAAAAACCAAACCAAAACCAACCAAATATTCCTTTAAATTTTAATTTTAAAACAAAAATTTCAGAATGGAGGGAAATGGCTGTGTTGGCATATTTAGCCGTGCTTCAAATCAAGGGCGTTGTTGTTTAAGGCCCACAGAGGATCATGAACCTGACCCTGGCATCAGAGGGCTGAGGGCCCTAGGATATCTCGGTCCTCCAGGACAGCGGCTCTCTTATCTCCCCAGAGGCAGGACTTCAGAGAGCTACGCTGCAACCACTTTCTCGCTTTGCACCTGCTTGGGAGAGAAATTTTCCGTAGTAGACCCTAGGTCTTTAGGCTGGGCGGGCCCAGTGCTGAGCTCAGAAACCGACAGCAGGGGTGGAGCAAGGCTGAGGAGCCCGCGGGTGATCCAAAAGCTAAAGCAAGCAAGGGTGGGCCGGGTGCACCTGTGCCTGGATCTCCTCCCATCTCCGAATCCCGTCCGCACCAGGGCTTAGGCCTCTAGAGCTCACACCCCTGTCGGAAGCTTCGGCCCCGCCCTTACTCCCAGCCCTGGGCAATGACCAGCAAGGCTGGACTCCAACACTTCAGGCCCAGCTCCGAGATTTTCGTCCTGCCCCAGCACGCTTCAGAGGTCTCTTTCAGTCCAAGCCCCTAAAACCACGCCCCCACTCCTCCAGCCACGCCCCGTGGCGCCTAGCGACCGTGAGCCCATCGCTCCAGGCGCAGAGGCGCGCGTCTCTGACGTAACGGCGCTCTCAGAGTGACGCACAGGCCCCACCCCGACCTCAAGCCCCGCCCAGGTTGTGGCCATTCCCCGCCTCCCGTATCCTGAGCCGCTTCTCCCTGAGCCGAGGCGGCGTTTTACCAGCCGGCTGCGGTTCTAGGTGGCGTTCCTGTCCGGCCACGAGAGACTGTGTAGCCCCGCCGCCCGCGGGCAATGGTGCGGCGGAGCGCGCGGACGCGGGCGGCCCTGCGGCGGGCATGAAGGAGGATGGAAGGGCAGGACGAGGTGTCGGCGCGGGAGCAGCACTTCCACAGCCAAGTGCGAGAGTCCACGGTGCGTGGCCGGGCGGTTCCCTGGTGCTGCGCCGCGCGCTGGACCCACGAGCTCAGCGCAGAGCAGCACGATCCCATAGCTTCTTCCCGGACACCCTCAGGCACGCCGGCCTTCCAGCGCCCCACCGGGTCTGCTGCAGATCGATTCCGATTACGTCCTCTGTCACCTGCGACCCGGTCACCTGCTCCCCATCTCCTCACCTGTCACCTCCTTGCCTGTCACCCTACTGCCCTCTCCTCTTGTAGGTCTCCCTCGCGCCACCAGCGCTCTCCCCCCTCCTTTCTGTCCTCTCTTTACTTATGTTCCCTCCCTTCACCCTCACTTTCCCTCTCCTGTCACTTTTACCTCCCTCCATACCTGTGTCCCCCTTCCGCAGAGTCCCTATGCCTCTCTCTTTCCCTGAGCTGCCTCCTATCATCTCTGTCCGCTTCCAGTCACCTGTGCTCACTTCCTTTCACCTGCTGCTAGGCTCTTCTCCCATCACTTGCAGCCCTTCCCATCATCCGACTCCCCTCCCCCCTTCCCGCTCCATCCCCAAGTCACCTACACTTAACCAATGGCCATTTCTCCTGTATTCTCTCTCTGCCTGCGTCCATTCAACTCATCACCTGCACCTTTATCACCTGCCTCAGCATCTTCACCTGAGTTTATCCCGCATCTCCAGCTGACTGAGGGTGTAGGGTGATGGGTGGCTGCCTCTTCTAGTCTGGCATGGCATGATATCTGGTACCTGGGCTAAGCTGGCTGTGGCTTAGGTGTAGGTGCAGACAGTGCTCTGGCTTCCCACCCACATCTCCCCTATACTCACACCCTCTCTATATCCCCCTAGCCAGGACAGAGTTAAAAACTTGAAAGGAGTGAAGACAGGTCTTTCCTAGGGAGAGTGAGAGCAGAAGCCTACAGTGCTGAGAAACAGCTGCTCTGGAAAGCATGAACCTGCTTTAACCTGCTACTTCTAGCAGATCAGGAAGCCAGCTTGGCTCCCTAAGGTCTCCTTTGATGAGCGCCTTTCCGGATACTCTACACTATTACCAATGGATTAGTTTGTGTCCCCATAACTGCAAAGTATATCCAAGTTACATATTTGCATTCATCTCTCTTCTTAGCTCCCTTTTCCTGGTCAGTCACACCCTTGGTTTGAGGTAAGCACATTCTGGTTCACAGTTGTCCAGTTTGTGCTGTTACTGATTTTTAAAATTGAGAAGTGGCTTGCCAAGTCATACTGGGGTAAAAAGAGATGCGTAAATCTGAGTTGATAGAGTTTAGTACAGTGCAGTTGGCTAGTTTTTATTACTTCTTTGGGTATTTTATACAATGTATTTTGAGCACATTCATCCCCCCACCCCCAACTCCTCCCAGACCTCTTTCCACACACTCAACTTCTGTGACTTTTTTTTAAAACCCATTTGAATCAAATTTGTGTTGCACTTCCACTCTTGGGTGTGTGGGCACTCATTGGGGGTTATGGTTGACCTATCTGTAGCACACTCCTAAAGAAAACTGACTGTCTTTTAACAACTATCAGTTGTTAGTAACTCCTCAGATGGGGTGGGACTTCATGTTTACTTCCTTTCTCTGTACTGAAGATTTTTGTCTGGGTTGAATTTACCCAGGTTATGAACACCCTCGGGTCCTTTGTATAACTGCCCTGTCTTAGCTGGAAAACCCTGGTTCTGTATGGACACCCACTGCTTCTGGCTCTTACAATCTTTCTGCCCCTTATTCCACAATTATTTTAAGTCTCAGGAAGAGGGGAATGGCACAGAATTTCTATTCAGGGCTGAGCATTCATTCTGTAGCCTCATATTCTTTTTGGGTCTCTGTTAACCATCATCCATATAGAATGCATCTCTGATGAAGGTTAAAACATGCACTGATCTCCGGGTTTAACAGTAAGTCATTAGTAGTTATCTTAATATGGTTTCCAGTTAGCAGTTTAATAGTAAGTAGGTTCTGTCCTAGGGTCTGTGACCTCTTTACCCACAGATTCTTGTCTCCAAGAACGGTGCCAGGTATGAGGTTCATTTTGTGGAGTGGACCTTAAAGCCAATGAGAAAGTGGTTGGTTACCCCCACAAATTATGCCACTAGGAAAGAATCTATAATTTTAAGTACGCCCTAGATGCATTTCCTACAAAACATACTTGATTAATCCGTGGTTTCAGATGCAGAAATAGAATTTTGCTTCCTTGCCAGAGGCCCACGTTTCCTCAACAGTTGTAACTTTTATCTTCTCAAAGGGTAACTGCTGCTTTAATGCCATAGGCTAATTTTTGTTTTATTTTTAAAATTCTTTTATATATATGAATGTTACATATGTATATCATGTATATGCATGATGCTCATGGAGTCCAGAAGAGGGCATCGGATCTTTGGAACTGGAGTGTGAAGTAGTTGTGTGAACTGTCATGTGGCTACTGGGAACTGAATCTGAGTCCTCCATCATTGAATTACTGTGTCGGCCCAGATAAGTGGCAGGTTTACTCATTCCTCTGTGCCAGGTGCATCTGACGGTAGACATCTGTTAGTTTCTGACAGTTCCGTCAGGGTGGATCTGCTCTGGCATACTCAGGAGTCTGAAACGTTACTACAGCAGTACAAGTGTGCCCTTTAAGTTCTGAGAGCTGTTTTTGGAAAATTCCAGTGAGCACAGGTAGATATCTCACGATTCCTGGTAATGGGTCGGAGTGCCTGTACTACTCCTTGTTTTTAGCATATTTAGGGTGGATGTCTAGTTGTTTGAACAACATAACATTTTTCTCATTGTATTGTCTTTGTGCTTTGTGAAAGATTAGTTAGCTGTATTATATGGCTGTATTTCTGGCATTCCTGTTCTGTTCCATTGGTCAGTACTTAGTTGATTACTTAAGCTTTGTTTTTACTTTACAAAAGTCCTTTGATTATATCCTTTCTCTTCAGATCGCGCTGATTATTCTTGGTTTTGATTCTCTGCATAAACTTTAGCGTAAGTTTGTTCATATCTACAGAGTAACTTGCTTGGGTTTTGACTGGGATTGCATTCAGTTTGTAGATCAAATAGAAGAACTTACATCCCCCTGTTCATGAGCATGGACTATCTCCCACTTATTAACGTTATTTTTAGATATTTTCATTAGAGTTTTATGGTTTTCTCATGCATATTTTAGATATGTTTCGTTAGATTTCTACATATTTTGTTAACATTAATTTTTTTGGCATGCTAGTATAAATGATGTATGTTTCATATTCAAATTTCACTTGTTCCTGGGCTTTTAAAAATGCTTTTAAAAATAATTAATTAATTAATTTACTTTACATCTCCATCAATTGAAGCTTCCCCTCCCTCCTTTCCTCCCAGTCCATCCCTCTCACTGCCCCTCTCCCGATTTCCTCAGAGAAAGGGAGGCCTCCCATTGATATTAACTCGCCCTGGCAAATCAAGGTGCAGTAGGACTAGACACATCTTCTGTCCAGGCTACACAAGGCAGCCCAGTTAGGGGAAGGGGTCCAAGGCAGACAGTGTGATCCGAGAGAGCCCCTGCTCCAGTTTGTAGGTATTCCACTTGAAGACTAAGCTTCACATCTTTGCATATGTGTAGAGGGCATAGGTATGTCTGTTGCATCCTCCTTGGTTGGTGGTTCAGTCTCCGTGAGCCCCTATGGGCCCAGGTTAGTTGACTCTGTAGGTTTCCTTGTGTTGTCCCACAATCCTATCTCCCCACTCTTCCACAACATGCCCTGAGCTCTGCCTAATGTCTGGCTGTGGGTCTCTGCATCTGTCTCCATCAGCTGCTGGATGAAGCCTCTCAGAGGACAGTTATGCTAGGCTCCTGTCTGCACGTATAGCGGAATATTACTTTATATGTTAATATGACATTAATGGTGGGATCTCAAGTTGGGCCAGTCATAGGTTGGCCATTTCCTCAGTGTCTGCTCCGTCTTCATCCCTGAACATCTTGTAGGTAGGATAAATTGTGGGTCAGAGATTTTGAGGCTGAGTTGGTGTTCCCATCCCTCCATTGGAAGTCTTGCCTGGTTATGGTAGGTGGCCAGTTCAGATTGGTGGCACATACTTTTACTCTCAGCATCTCCACAGGTAGAGACCGGCAGATCTATGTCATTTTAGGGCCACTCTGGTCTATATGATGACCTTCAGGCCAGTCAGGGTTATATAGTGATACCCTGTCTCAAAACAAAAGGCAAGCAAACAACAAAATTCTGACATAAAAACCGAGACTAAGCCAAAACAAAAATTTTACTTGTCCATTGCTGGCATATAGGAAAGTGATTGACTTCAGTATGTTAACCCTGTGACCTTCACTCTTGATACAATTATGTATTAAGTTCTAGGTCTTTTTGTGTATTCAGATTTTTTTCAATCAGAGAATACAGCCATGTGTGTATAAAGGCAGTTTTACTTATTAATTTAAATCCTTTTTCTTGTTTTCTTGTGCTAAGTAGGATTCCTAGAACTGCTGTGAAGAATGAGAAAGGGTGCCTTTGCCTTCTTGTAGGTCTTAGAGAAACTTTGTCTTTCTCATTACTAGTTTTTGATACTTTGTAGATAGGTATTCTTTAGCAGTTGAGGAAGGCTCTCATCTTAGGTTGTTTTAAAATTCACATTTTCTCTTATGTATTTGGCTTAGGTTTACTTCTTCATTCATGATGAATTAATGTCACCTAGCTAAAGTAGTGTTTTATTTATCTTCTTTTTTTTATTTTTTATTTTTTTATCTTCTTAAATAAAGTTGATGCATGTAGAAATTATTTATTTATTTAAAAATATTTATATTTTATGTATATGAGGATTTTGGCTTTATGCTTTTTTTTAGTACATGATGATATGTCACAGTTATTTCTTCCTTTTGGGTTACATCATTTTAAATAAAGTACTCTAGTGGGTCTTTTTCTTTGTGGGAGACAGGGTCTCATATAGGCTAGGTTAGGCTTGAACTCTCATTGTATTACTGAAGATGAACTTGAACTCCTGGTCATCCTACTTCCATTTCTCAAGAGCTGAGA